AGAGAGAGAGAGAGAGAAGGCACTGGGCATGAAGACAAAGTATTCTGGTTTCTGAAACGAATTTCTCACCATAAATTAACATGTTTCATTCTCTTTTTATATATAAGAAGTTCAAAGTGGTGAGTGGTTAAGGCAGGTGCACATTCACACGGATTCCAGAACTTCCATATCTCCCGGGCTTTGCTTCAAATGACTCCTTACACGGATCTACAGCTTGACCAACACGATGGACCCGTATGATGCAGCCCGGGACTCCACGGCAGGACACCTGGCTTCACAGACAGCTCAGGCAATTAGCTTTCCTTGTCTGTTTCTCCATCTGTAAACAGAGGGAGCCAACAAGCTCCCTAAAGCCCCTTCCACAGCTCAAATTCAATTTTAGGAATCCACCTCAAGGGATTCATATTTGCACAGACCACCAACAGCTCCTATAAGAGAACTGATGGATCAGCAGAGGTTTAAGGTGTAGGCTGGAAAGGGAGGAGCCAAGAATAAAAAGCTACATTTCAAAACCCCCACATCTCTTGCTTCGTTACCCGTTACCCGGGCCTCAACAATTCCCAAACTCAGGTGCCACCGGGGCCTAGTCTCGATCTAGCACATCCCAATTCCGCCTTTCGAGAACTTCGAGTTGGTTTAAAATCGTGCTGCATATTCGTATTTTTGATTTGGCATCCAAGCGGTACCCGGTGGGCATTTCAAAGTGCCCACATCCTAAATCTCAAAACTCAGTTTGATTCTTCATCTCACAGCCACCGAGAACTCCGCTCCAGGGGAGGGGGAAATTGGAAGCGCTCCCCTTTCGGTTCGAAGCGCCGAAGAACTCGGGCGAGAGCGTGGAACACGGCTGCGGGGCGGGAAGGGGTGCCGGACTCACATTTCTCAATTAGAGCCTCCTCGCAGTCTAGGCCGAAGATCTGCAGCTCCTCCGCCAGCTGCTGGGGGGATGCGGACATGGTCGCCCAAGCCAGGGGCCGGGGAGCCGACCCACCCAGCTCCGACCTGTGCCCAAGAAACCCACGGGCCTGGCGAGCGATGAGCGCCTCGCCCTCTTATCCTTCCACCCTCCGCGGACCGTGACAGGAGGTGACTGGCCCAAGCAAGACCTCAGACCGTCAGAGGGCCCCGGCCGTCGGTCACAGAGAAATACGTTTTTTAAAAAATGAAGGGGTGGCCCCCAAACGCCCTGAATGGAGGGAGCAGAAATCTCGAGAGGACGCTTTCCCGGAGAGAACGTCCTGCTTCCTAAAAGCTACCGCTGAGTTTCTCAGTGACGGTGGCAGAACAGAGTGGCCGGGAAAAACCCGCCAAATGGTTTGTGCAGCGCACGCATGCGCGAAACCGGGAGTCAACCCCAACCCTTCCGCTTGCTTTCCCCGGCTCATTCCGGGACCCGACGCGCGCACGCGCGGCCCAGGGCGCGTGCGCATCACCGCGCGTGTGGGCGTCTCTACGCACGCGCCTGGCGGCCAGCCAGTCGGCAGCTGCGCAGTTCTTTCTCACTGGGCGAGAAAGCCGGGTGCGACCCGCAACGCCCCGGGGTTACCTACACGGAAACTGAGTCTGTGTGCGGATACCTGTTTTCTGGGCATCGGCTGCTCGGTGAAGCTCAGTGGCGCATGTTCGTCACCCTTTTGCCCTGTTCCGTGGTGCGCAGGCGCTGTCGTTCGCGTGCCTTCGACTGTCTCAAACTTACTGTACCCCCTTCTCCATTCCCCTTGTCATCTCTGCCTGTTGTGCCCTTGGTTCATCCTAAAAGAATGGCTTCAGTGAGGAATCTGGTTGCCATGGTTATTATCGTGATTATCACCGTGGTGCCAGCCACAGTGATGGGTATGTTTTCTGAATCTGGGGCATTTTGGGGGATATGAGGTGGGAAGGTGACAGATAATAATTTAGTTGTGGACACGTTAAGTTTGAGTGCCTCTGGGATTTCCAGGTAGAGATTCCCAGTGGGTGACTGGAGGCTTGGGAGTGAAGGTAGGTCACTCAAGGATAGAGGTTAGGGGTAAGATGAGAAGAGGGTTCTCCCCTTAAAATACATCCTAATTCTTTGAGCCAAAAATCTCTACCGTAGGAGTCATACTCTGCTGGTGGGATGGTAGAGCGTTTCTAGAAAACAATTTAGCAATATGTATCAGGAGCCTTAAAAATGCCCGTCCCATGGGGGCCGGGTGGGGTGGCTCACGCCTGTAATCCCAGCACTTCAGGAGGCTGAGGCGGGCGGATCACTTGAGTCCAGGAGTTCAAGTTCATTCTGGGCAACACGGTGAAACCCCTTCTCTACAAAAAATTAGCCGGCGGTGGTGGCGGGTTCCTGTGATCTCAGCTACTCCGGGGGCTGAGGCAGGAGGATTGCTTGAGTTCGGGAGGTCGAGGCTGCAGTGAGTCATGATCGCCTCACTGCACTCCAGCCTGGGCAACAGAGCAAGATCGTGTCTCAGAAAGCAAACAAAACTGAAGTACTTGTGACCTCTAGTCAGCCAATGGCTGCTTGGCTGTATTTTGAATTTAGGCCTAGTTAGCCATTCCGGATCCATCATGAACCTCTTTTAGGGTTCACACCCTTAAGCCTCAAATGTTTACTATCTGGCTCTTTATGGAAAATGTTTGCAGTTTCCCACCATCAGCAGTAACTAATGGATAGCAAATGTGTTACATACGTATTTTTCCCAACCTGTCTTTTAGCTTTGTGTGTGTTTTTTTTTTTCTACACAACATTGTACAATTATTTTCCTGTATGGGTTTTAGGTTTCCTGCTTTGTATAATAAGGTATCCTCGACCTAAACTTATGAAAATATTCTTCTAATTTTTGTTTATTAATTTTACTTACGTTTTGCCTTTAGTTTGCTAATCCACCTAGAACTAATCTTATTTGTGATGTGAGGAAGGATTTAGCTTTTTTTTTATTCCTGACAAACAGCCAGCATGTCAGCAGTTATACTTAGTAAATAAGACATTCTTCTCCAACTGACTTGAATTGTGATCTTTCATGTATCCGGTCCCCATAAATACTTGAATCTGTTTCTGGATTTTCTGTTTTATCCCACTGATTTATTTGTTATCTTTTCTGTGTCAATATAATATTTTGATTGCAGGAGTAAATTAAGTGGGTTTTAGATCTGTGACATAGCCAAGTCCTAAAACAATAGTAGCTGAGACAAAACAGAATTTTATTTTTCTGTCAGGTAAAATAATTTCAGAGATAGGTAGCCCAGGGCTAAAATGATGGCTTCACGTTCATCAGGCCTCCATCTTTCTGCTCCACTGTCCTCGAATTAATCTCCATCCTTACAGTCACCTCATAGTACAAGATGGCTTCTGGAATTCCAGCCATCAGATTCACATTCCATTCCAGGTAGCAGAAAGTAGGAAGAAGAAAGGGTAAATAAAACTTAAAAACAAATAAACAAGAAAAGAGAGTGAAAAGAGGAATGAAATGAAAATGGAAAAAAGAAACAAAAAAATGACTTTTGCAAACCGTTGTTTATCCATTTTTGAAGAGGAGTCTTTCTAGAAATCCTTCTCAACCACTTTTGCTTAGACTTTAGCCACATAGCCATATATTTATTTGTTTGTTTGTTTGTTTGTTTTTATTTTTTTTTTAATAGCCATATCTTTAAAGGAGGCTGGGAAAGCCTTCTTATAAGTTACATTGTAATATTATTGAGGAAACACATTGCTACCCCATCAATATACAAATTTTGTTACTGAGAAAGGAGTTAATACTAAGTAAGCACTTAGTAGTGTTTGCCCCAAGTAGCTTTACAGTAACTTCCCAAAACTGTTGAAGCATTTTACTTTTTTTTTTTTTTGAGACAGGATCTTGCTTTGTTGCCCAGGCTGGAGTGCAGTGGTGTGATCAAGCTCTTTGCAGCCTCAGTCTCCTGGGTTCAAGTGATCCCCCAACCTCACTCTTCTAAGTAGCGGGGACTACAGGCATGCACTACCACACCTGGCTTGTTTTTGTTTTTGTTTTTGTTTTTGAGACAGTGTCTCACTCTGTTGCCCAGGCTAGAGTGCAGTAGAGTGATCTCAGCTCACTGCAACCTCTGCCTCCAGATTCAAGCGATTCTTGTGCCTCAGCCTCCCGAGTAGCTGGGATTACAAGTGCCCACCACCACACCCAGCTAATTTTGTATTTTTAGTAGAGATGGGGTTTCGCCATGTTGGCCAGGCTGGTCTCAAGCTTCTGACCTCAGGGGATCCACCAATCTCAGCCTCCCAAAGTGCTGGGATTACAGGCGTGAGCCACAACTCCCAGTCTTGGACATATTTCTTGCAACCAGTCACTTTGATCAAATTCTCTTATTAATATTAATGTTTTAGGAGAATCTCAGATTTCCTAGATTATAATAACATTTACAAATAAAAATATATTTTTCCCTTCTTCTCAAATATTGATACTAATCATTTTATTTTCCTGCCTTGGTGCATTGAACCAAACCTTGGAATCGTTGTTGAATCACAGTAGGCATCCTTGCCTTCTTCCTGTTTCTGATGGCACCGGCTTCAGCATGGCCTCCTTTGGTGTGATGAGTGTTATTGGGTTGTGTTAAGAGTGCATAATCTGCACTTTCGGAGGCTGAGGCGGGTGGATCACCTGAGGTCAGGAGTTTGAGACCAGCCTGGCCAACATGGTGAAACCTCGTCTCTACTAAAAATACAAAAAATTAGCCGGGCGTGGCCAGACACTTGACTTACGTCTGTAATCCCAGGA